AAAAAAAAAAAAAAGATCATCAGAATGATCTTGGAACTTTTGATTTTCCTGAACTGAAATAAACATAATATCGTCCGAGTGGATGAATTATTATCACTATGCACCCATATTGGCACTAAGATGATGTGCCGGACAGAATGACCAAAGAACGAATCGTCGAATCGGATGTCTGTGTTAATTAGCTGGAGAAATTCGAATCGACATTCGACCTGTGGTCATTCATCTTTACTTTTCCGTTGTACCATTTTCAAAATCATCACTCACTTCTATCATGTTAACAAAGTTTGCAAATCACGAAGTCAACTCGATTATGATTATGATCTTGTAAGTTGAGTTCGAGAGTATATTGCTAAGCATAAGTTTTAACTTTCATGGATCCCGGATTACATGATTCAACAGTTTTTTCTACAAGCTTTCTGAAACATCCATGATTTCACGATCGATCTCCTGATGTATCGAGAAGACAATGTTATCACATATAGATCATAGTTATACATGTGGATTTCACGGAACAATTTCGCGGTCTTTCAGCATCACGTTTTACCGTGTTACTTATGATAGTAGCATTTCACGTATTGAGAAACGCTTATGAAATATTCTCGAACATATGTATCGATTCAAATCTGTATATGAAAATTGGTACTACTTTCACATATTCAATTTCAAAAAGAAAAGTGAGAACTTTGTGGACAAATTTTTTACTTTTTGATTTATAGAAAGGTCATCATCCATCAATTGTTAGTTCCTAGTCGATTACTGTAACAAATGAATTCATGCTTTTTCTTGCTTGATCCCAAAACTTACTGCATTCTCAATATCGTTGATGTTAATTGTCGGAATTATTGATTAAATCCAAATGCTTAGTTATTGTTTAGTGTATGAAAACTAACCGATGCTTATATATCGGTCAACTTTTTATAAATTCTTTTTTATGGAGATAAAAAAATTTGTTGGGATTTTTACGATATGATGCGATGTAAATGTGTTATAGTGTTAGAAAGAGAATGAATTAATAAATAATGATTTATCAGTTCACGGTCTTTAGAAAATTAAGCAATTAAATTTGGTTCAAATTTTTTGAATATAGTAAATATTGGTATTATATTGTAACATATATATATATATATATTCTCACAACATTATCCTTTCACTTCTTCACGATGAATTAGGGTCAGATTTCATGCAACATTGAATTTTGCTTTCTGATAAATTTCTGATATGTTTACAACTGTTGCTTAATTGATATAAAATCATTCTCGTTCATCAGATTTTTCAATTGATTGTGATCATTGATTAGTAATGCATGTATCATGGGAATAAGTTTTTCTTTTAACTAATTTTGCAATTTATTATTGATTGTACTTTTTGAATAAATAACTACAAATAATATTTGAATGTTAGGGTAAATGATTTGTAAAATTCATCATTTTTTTAATTCAAAAAATTCACACTAATTATAAAAATAATGGAAAAAAGTTTTAATTTTGCCGAGACTTTTTAAGCAGTGATAAGCTATTGTCATTATATATGTTGTAAAATGTTCAAAAAAATATGTTGTATTTTTTTTTTTTTTTTGAAATTCTTGATTAAGACATCGAGAAGGATGAGTGCGATAATTCTATATAGGACGATGCAAACCTTTCCAGTTTCGCATTTTGATAGTAAATTCATCTAATTTTTTTTGTTGTTGCAAATTATGAAAAAGCAAAATATATTCATTAATGTTAATTGACTAATCAGTGGCGCTAAAAAGATTTTCACCGCTTCACTTTACAATATATCTTCTGCATTTGATTTAAATCAATAAGTTATATTAATGAGAGGAATTATCGTGATTAAGTTGGTTTTTATTTTACATTCTAATATTTTGTATTATGTAATTTCCAAGATTACAGCAATGCTCTCCAATGAATTATTATAAATTAGAGTTTTTATGTTTTGTCATTGGCATTATTTTATATCTGATATTTATCTCTTTTTTTATTAATCTATTCTTTTCGTAGTATATTTTTTTATTGATATCGATATATGCATATACATATATATGTATATGCATATATCGATATCAGTAAAAAAACAAACGATTAAAAGGTATCATTGATGGAATGAGATGTAGAAATTTCTTGTAAACATTCGTTGAGATATATCTAAAATCTATCAATAGTAAAAATCAAAATAGAAAGACATATTTGTTATACGAATGAATGAACACATTGCTGAACACACATATGCATCTATGAAATTATGGACGAGATTTTCAAAAAATATTTGATAATAGTAATTTGTGAGATTAAATGAAATTTATAGATGAAAGTTTCAAGAAAAAAAAAAAATTAAATTATCATATGACACTCACTTGCTCATTATTTATATATTTATTTCATTGTTGCTTTTATAACATTTCTATCGCTTATTTTATTATTTGAATAAAATATTCATACTGTTTTTTGTTAACTTAAGCAGTAAAGGAATTGAGACATTTACTTCTTTAGTTGGAAGTAGTGTAAAATTGTTGAGTAAAGAAGTGTAAGCAAATCTGAACTCAAATATTATATCAGGTAACGGTGACCTGTACACTTTGTCCTCCATCCTTTTTGGTTTCAGTTTTTTCCTTATGTTCGGTAACTAATGTTTTCACATCACGACGATGTAAAATTGAATCTCGAGTCAGTGCTTCCAATGCTGCTGTTGCGATTACTTCTTGACGACGTTGACGTAATGCATCACGATACTGTACTGTAATGGTAACTTCATTACTGAAAGATCAATAATTTAGCATTTAGATTGTAATTAATATGATTTGAAAGAATTGCTGCTTTGGAATAGAGAATTCTTTCAACTGGCGATATATGTGATTATATCATCGCCATTTTGTATAAATTGTTATTAAGACTTGCTTTTTTGCAATGAACATTCATTTTATTAAAATCTTTTAATTTGAAAATGGATTAGTTTAAACAAGAAAAAAACATGAAAGTAAAATTTATGAAAAAATTCTTTCAAGTCGCATTTATTGCATACATGCTATTTCAATTTTGAAATTGTAAAAAATTAAAAAAATTTGAAAAAAAAAAGCGAGTTAATTTACTGGAATAGATAATGAGCAAACCGCCCCAAGCCATTGACCAAAACCATCCGACAAACAAGAATGTTATCGTGAAGAATTGACCAATACCAATCAATGAATTAATCAGTATGGTCATCAGCTTTTGACCCTCACGATAATTCACACGTGTTTGTCCAACACATAAAGCAAAAAATCCACTCATTATTGTGCCTGTATAATGTTTGAATTGTTATTGCATTTGTTGATTTATTATAAAATTGAAAATAAATCCTTATTTTATAAATTAATTATCAAAAATTCAGAACTGGATTATCGTAACCTACAAATAATCTATTCCCAGATGTTTTAAATAATCCGAAAATAAATACATTGATGATTTGAGAATATAAAACAGTTTAAAAAGTAATCGGTATATTAGTATTGCTCAATTATTGCTGAACATTTCTTTTTTAAAAAAATATAATTGATGACTATAATCAATTTACCAAAAATGTAAATCACGCAAGATATAATTGGCTATTATATAGTCTTCTCTGATTCTTATCAACATACATATATAATCCAATCCATAATAATATTTACATTTACTCATTTAAAGTTTTTATTTTCATAACTATAAAATATTATTTTAAGATAAATTAGATGCAAAAAAAAAGAAAAATTATTCCTATCTTATAGTTATGAGAATAAAATATTGCTTAAAAAAAAAAAAAAGAGCGGAAATTTCTCGATGCATTCATTTGCATTTTTTGCCATTTACCTATGTAAAATTTTTATTCTCATAATTGTAAGATATGCATAGAACTATTTAAACAAATAGTTATCATCGTTTACATACCTAAGCCAGGTATAATAATATTAATTATAGCACAAAATACAGCAGCTGGTAGCGGAAGAAATGGTATCGCAGAATGCATTAGAGTAATATCATTAGTTGGAAGATGAATTCGTGTATCACTGAGATGAATTCGTTTATCATTTTGACCACCGTCAATTTCAGCTGCTTTTATCAAATTTGTCAAACTAAATCCATTAACATCATTCTGCAATGATAACAAACATGAATTGATAATAATAATAAGGAAGAAGCAGAAGATTGTATCAAGTGAAAATGCATCAAAGAGTCTGAGACTTTGTATTGTTTCCTCTTAAAATAGAACTATTTAATTTGAAATAATTCTTTTCTAATTTTTCAAAATATTTATTCTCTTACTTATTTCTTCCAGCTTTTTGTTTAGCATATATTTTTAATTTTAATTTCCATAATCTTTTAAATTCCTACAACAAATGATGTATTTGCCTTTTTTTTTTTTGTTCACTGAATTAATCATAAGAACATAAGAGAAAAGAAAGACGAGATAAAAAGAGATAAGGTGACAGTTTAAACAGAATTTGAATATGAGGTGACAGTTTAAACAGAATTTGAATTGAAGAGTGCTTTCCGATAAGAATCACGGGAAATGAAATGATATCAGCTCATAAAATGAGCGATTAAGATAATTGTGAACGAAGAATACAGAGGTCATAAGAAAAAAATACTTGTTGTAAAATCGTTTCAGATATAAATTTTCAAACTGATTGAATTTTAAAAGTCGGTTGATGTTTCTTAATTTATTCGATCATTTTTAAATAAGTTCAAAAATCTTTGAATGAAAATTTTGAAATACATTTTTACTATTCCTGCAAATAATTTATTTCAAAAATTTAATAAAATTAAAATACTAGAACTCACCAAGCATTTACATAATTTGAAATTAAAATACTGTAAATAAATTCCTTCATAATGGAACCTTATCTCGACGTTTCACAATAATTCCATTTGCAACACCGTACTCAATCACATCCGGTATCATTGCTTGTATTTTTTTCCATTTTTTCGAAACTTCAGCTATAAAAATTTCATATATTTTACAAACATAAATTAATACTTTCAAAAAATCATTTTCACCTTCAAAGTCATTTTTTCCAAACCACAATGCATCGTTTTATCGATTTTAATTTCTTAAAAATTACTGAAAATTTCAGCTAATCAAATACGATATAAAAGTTATCAGTATAATTTTAACTCAAAATTAAAATTACGTACGAAAGAAAAAAAAATCATCACATATATTTTTTTCTTTTGATTAACTTACCAATTTCTCTTTTTTGTGGTTGTGATGATCGTGATTCATCCATTTCAACAAAATTTGATTATTCAAATAGCTATAAATTATTTAATTTACTCCTTTTTCCCACAAATGATTGGTTTAAATCTTTACAAATTTTTACATAAAATTCATACGCTATTTTTTGAATCTGAAAAATGACTAAATTAAATATATGCTCATTTGATTTGCTTATTAAGTAATTTCATTGAATATTGTAAATACAAAATTAAATATATGCATACACTTTTTTCATTTTAAATAAATTGGTTGTTAAAAGTGTATTTTATATTTGCAATATTCAATAAAGCCAGTTCATAAACAAAATTAAATGTCCGATGTCAATTTCCATGAAACAATAACTGTAAATTCATGACTCATTAAAACGAAGTTTAAGTTAGTGTTTTAAATTGAATCGAATTTAATATCAAATCACAAACCATTTCAAAAGTTAATCAAGCACAATATAATTGTTTTATATTGTTTGACATACTGTGATGTTGAAAAATGCAACGACCAATACCATGAAAACAATAATTGTTTTCTTTGTATGCTAAAAGAATAATTTACAAAATTTAAAGCGTTCGTTTTAAAAACGATTAGTGTGAAAAATAACAAACATCAATAAAAAAAGAAAACCTCCCCCAATGCTAAATATTTTCAGAAAAAGTATTATAAAATTCGATGTACTTCTCAATTCGCATGCTCCATCATTTTAAAAAGTACATTATTTCGAAATTTCCAAAAAAAAAGTAAGAAAAGGATGCAAATATGAGCGAAACCTTTTATAACCTTTTCAGCTCTGCTAGATGAACAATTAATTACTGTGCTTCTTTTAAATTTAATTTATGTATTTATTTGGATTTTGATTCTTTTTTTTCTTTCATCAATGATTTAAAATATAATTTTTTTAAAATTATTTTAAAATAATACCACAAGTGGGAATTCTAACGCATTTAAAGTAAGCAAATAAAAGCAATGAAATCGAAAAAAGAAAAAAAAAATTGGAAGAAAAACGATTAAATAATAAACAGTTGTTTGGTGTAATGTTATGCTTCAATAGTTTTCAACAATCATTTTTTGAAAGTATCATTTATGCTGTAAAATATTTGACCAATAATACTCTTCAATTTTTTCATTTTTCTTTTTCCTTTCACTCTTCTTTTTTACCTTTCAGAAACGAAAAGAAAAATCCTTCTCTCTCTCTCTCTCTCTTTCTCAAAAAAAAAAAAGAAAGAGAATGAAAACAATTTACAAAAACAGTTATGAAATGATAATAAAAATTTTCCTAAAAGTGAAAATTTACTTTAAGAATAAAGAAAGAATTTTAAAATCTAGTAAAAAAAAGATTAAATGACTAAATGACAAACACTATGAACGATTTAGGACCTTTCAAAATGTATTTAACAATTATTTCATAATTTTAAAGGTAAATTTATGCAATCTCGATCTGCTATGCGCCAATTTACGTAAGTCAAGCAATTCATGATCGATGTCATTTGGCACATCTTTTTTATGATATTAGGTGACAATATCTTGCCGTATGTCACATTTGACTAATTGTTTGCTTTTCTTCAGGTAGATGCCAAGACTGTTAAATTCATATCTTTTAATGCAAATAAATTAAATGACAAATTCCACGAAGAAAAAAAAAAGTAAATTTGATGCTAATAACATTAACCTCAAAATTGAAATGTAGCGCATGCATGCCTGCATTATGCGATTGGAAGAGAATTTTTTGCAATTAAAGAAAGTTATCTCCCGTAGGTTTTCTATCAGTTAGGAAAGAAAGATTTAATTATGAGTCATTTATGTTTACATGAAAGTTCTGATTGCACACAAAGCACTCTCACCTGTCGTGACAATTTTGCATGATGCGTTGCAGTGACATGCAATTCTTCTCAAAGTGTTTTTGCTGCAAAATTGCGACTGTAACCTCAACTTTTGTCAAACAAAACAACGAAGATGTTGATGATGTCACTAAGCGGGATGAATGAGAATTAAATACTCGAGAAGAACTCGAAATATTTAAATGTAACTTAATGAGTGCCTGAAGAAAAAAGTTGAATTTGTTTTTCTTTTTCAATTTCTTCCAAATTCCATTAATAACTTTATTGCTTTTACAGCATACTATAACTCTTATCATCGTGTCTATCTTTTCTTTCTCTATTAAGTTTTTAATTTAAATATTTGCAATTAGATTAAATTTTATTTATGAACTATCTTATTCCTTTACAAACTTCATTCCCAGTCTAAACTTTTTCTGATGAGTGCAAAAAGTATATTGAAATGAAAATTACGATTTATCACTTTAAAGCAGTACTCTCAAATAAGAGGTTTGTTTAAAATAATAACTACCAAAAATTATTTCTTATCTAAAAACTACGATTTTTTTCAAGCAATTCTTAACTGTTTATCTGCTCTATTCTATCCTATCAAACTATTACATTTCATACATTTTTTTTCTTCATCAATATTTCTGGTTAAATTTTGAAATGATTAATTTTATTTAGCAACAAAACTTTCGCAAAGATTATCATTATGCTAAGCTGAACTAATCTTGCTTAAACTGCTAAATATATCTCAATTAAACACAGCATAAATTAAAATTCATTTCCATTCCAAGGAATTTTTCTTCTTTCTCTTGAAGTACGTGTAATATATGTAAGTAGAAAGTAATATTTCTTAAGTAATTGCTAAGCATTTACCATCAAGTCAAATCGAACAAACTTATCTTATCCTCGCTTATACAGTCTAATTTTTGATTGCTTAGTGTGCATGGATGATTCAGTTTATAAAAATTTTCCCACTTCCAATAAACAATGCTTTTTAGAAAAATATTATATTTTTTAGAATTTTCTTTAAAATTAAATTTATAACAACAAATTTAAGAGTATTTCAGTAAACAGCACATTCACGATCAGTATATTGATGTAGTGATTGAAAATTATTACTATCAATAATAAACAAGCGAATATTTTCAACCTTTGATTCACAAATTTTAATGCAAAACTTTCCGTATTCTCTGACCTCTTCATTTGATTGACGTTATAAATTTCTAAATTCATTTTTTCAAAAGAGGTTTTAAAATGGGAAAAAAAGATGATCTTTAATCTATAGAATCAAGAAGACATGACAGTTATTATTATGCGGCAACTTCCACATGTAATCTCAGTTTATTATGACATTCGTTACAGAATTAATTTTAATATTGCAGTTATGATTGCATTTCTCGAATTTTAACATTGATTGATTCGTAAAATACCAAATTAAAATGAATTA